CTAAGGAACGAACAAAGGAACAAAGGGGGGCATTTTCAGAACCCTGTCGATTGCTGACAATTTTGTCAAACCGGTTTCGAAACGGCCCAGTCCTTGTATTAACGGATTTTTGGGTTTACCACTCCAGATGGATAGGGAATGGGAGCTTAAGGTTGTCTTGTATTCGGGCATTGAGTCCACCTCGCCCATTGTCATCCCCGAGCCACCTTGGAGTCTTCGGGACCTAGAAGTAACTCCCGACGGTCTGAGGAACAACGGCCGGGGGCGCGATATTGATGATGATACTACGTCTAGGGGGGGGGGGGTGTTCTTTTTGATAACCAATGCATAGTGGTCCAGTGGTCCCCTTGGAGATGTGCCCGTGTGTGATCGGCATGGGGCGGGATTCACTGACCAGCCGCTGGAGGCCGGTCTGTGGCGTCGTGTGCTTTCTCTCCAGAGCGACACCGAGAACGAGAACCGCGGCGCAGCGGGCGTCAATTAGGGCCAATTTGGCCATGAACGGGCGAAGCGCGGCATCCTCCGACCTGGCTTTTATTCTGAATTGTTCGCTAGTCGCACCGTCTTGAATCCGCTTGTCTTTCCTGCTATTCCTGCTGCTAACGACTTTACACCATACCGGTGGGAAGACAGTTGGCAACTTTCCCATCGACGAACAAATTCCGGAATCCCATTTCCAATATCCAATATGCGACGTCCAAGACCAACACAATGTCAGGTGCGGCGGGCGCCGTGAAGGCAACCTCCTGCCGTCACAGTTTTTACGGAGATAACCGGTGTATTCATAAACACTGTGCGATAAGAAGTGGCCAAATTTGCGCCTCGACAAGGGGGTTGTCGAGGAATATACCGTCTTCATGGACCCCCGTAATTCGGCGTCAAAGACGAAACCTTGGATAGATCAGCGGTCAATCCGTCCTGGGCGAACTTCTAGACGTCTTCTCGAAATGGGAACCAAGGGGAGGACCCAACAGCGAGAATCCTGCCTCGGTCACCGGTGTAGGCATCTTCACCAGTACGGCTAAACGGGGGAACGGGGGAACGGCTGAATGAGGTCACGATTCGCTTTTATAGCGGCGTCTGACTTGGTTCTCCATTCCCCTCCTTTTGGTGTCCTTGCCGGCTTCTAGCATCGACTAGTCGGCCCTTTTTTTTCTTCTTTTTTTTTCGCTTTTTCTTCCTTCAATTTTCCTCAATTCTGACCCGGCCATGGATGGACGACACGAGCTCACCAGTAGTGCAACTACCTATCCAACGAGGTTATAGCTTAACTGACTATTACCCCCCCCTGCTAACCTGACTATTGCCCCCCTATGAGCGTAGATCTGACTTAACCTGATTATTACTATAGCCTTTACTTCTCGCCCGACTATTAGTCGCTAAGCCTATACTAATAGTCGGGTGAGGTTAGCGGGAATAATAGCGAAGGGGAATTAAATCGTTACTATAACAATAACTATAGGGAATTAAAACTGGATTATTTTAGGACCGTTTTAGGACCTATTCCGGTAGTTTTCCGGATATAATAGCTAGGTCACGTGATATATCGGGGTAAAAGCCTAGTAATAATAATCACTGCCTAAATAAATCTAAATCGCTTCCGTAACTTAATTATAATAATGCTAGATTATAATTATTTTCTTTAGTTTACGCTTTATAGTAATAAATAAATCTATAATTATAACCTTATTAACTTTATATATACCTATTACTTTTTATTATTAATTACTCTTTAGTTTATTATCTTAATTACTCACGTTTTTCGCTATAGCGAAAAAATACTCTTAAACCGCTAAATATGAGTGGTATCTTAATAATAAGTAAGGTTATCGCGCAGGACTCCTAGGCTATAAGACGAACGATATAAGTTACTATTTAGATTTAATTTAGGATCGATTTAGGATTAATTCTAATAGTATCTAGGAGGGTTAAGTAAAAGTAACGGCAGGAGAGATCTACTATCGTTATAAGATTAAGGATAGTCGTTTATACTATATTATAAGTATTCCCTTATAGTTCTCTAAGATAATTAAATAGTTTCTAATAATAAAATAAACGACTACCTACTTTACTATAAGCTCGCTTAAGAAGTATCTTAAATAGTCTTACGCACTAATATCGGCGGCGGCGGTAAAGGGTGTATTATCTTCGGCTAATAACTAGGAGGCTATACGTATATTAGATCCGTGTAATAGCTTAATATATTAGTAGTTATACTAATACTAATACTAGGATTTTACCGACGCCTATACGCTTTTACCTATAACGAAGAAGTTACCCGTTAGACACTAACTAAGAGTATAGCTTATCGTTATACTAGTATACTCCTATACGCCCCTATAAAGGGCGACGGTATTATATATATTGCCTGCCTTCCTTATATATATCCTTTACTAATACTATAATAGTATAACTACGATAAAATAAAAGAGGTGGCTAGATATACTCTGGATTAGCTCTATAGTTTTTATCGTCTTTAGTATAGGGAGATTTACCCCCCTTACTAAAGGGATAATAGATACTTAGTTTAGGTAAGCTTTCGCTATCCTAAGAGCGGCTTAGGCGCCGCGGAGAGGAAGGCGCGTAGCCTTCGTGTTTAGTTAGAGGCTAGCCGGTCTATCTCCTAGCCACGGGGCTATACTCCTACTTTAGAGAAGTCGGAATAATAACCTTATGAATAAGTAAGGTTTGCTTTTATTTTCAAATAATAAAAGCCACGAGGAAATAAGTATTATATTATAAATTAAGTTTATAAAAATAATATATAATTATAAAGTGCCTATATAACTTAATAGTATAAAGTAATATATAGTTAGTAGTATATTTAAATATACTAAACTTATTCTATATAATAGTAATAGTATATTAAGTTTTTAAAGTATATATAAATATAATATAATATATATAATAGTATAATAATACCTCTTTAAAATAACTATACGCTTTAAGATAACTTATTATAATACTTTAGTTAAATAATTCTAACTTCTATATTAAGTAGTTTAACTTATAATACTAAAGTATTTTAATAGTTATATTAAAGAGTTTTAATCTTTATATTACAGCTTTTTAATATCTTAGATATATATATTAAAAGTTTAAATAATAGCTTATTAGGTAGAAATATCTTATATATATAATAAAACTATATATTATATATTATAATCGATTTAGCTCTAAATAAACCTATAAAAGCTTATATTTAAACTTATATATACTACTAGTATACTTATATATAAACCTTATTTTATAATTATATATATATATACTTTGTAAGCTATTTACCTTTTTATAGGTAGTATTATTATTATTATTATCTAACTCCGCTATTCTATCTAGTCTATAAAAGCCTATTTAGACTATATAGTATTCTTAAGTAGCTATAAAGTAAAAAACCCGGGGAAAACCTTTATACTTTTCCTTAATTAGAATAATACTATTATAACGCTAATATAATACCGGTTAATCCTTATTATATATCCAGATTATACTTTTAGACTATTAGCTAATAGAAAAGGTAATAGATTATAGTTTAGATTAGCCTAAGCTAATTACTAATAAAGGAGTAAAGGCTATAAGAGTATTATAGTATCTCCGCTATATAATAGCCACGGTACTTTATACTCGGTCTCCTTATATCCTTAGGGGTCGCCTTTATTATCCTTTCCGTTTAATTAATAGAAAAGATAGGTAACGTAGGCTATCCTACCTCTATTAAGAGGTAGGTGCCTACTATATCAGGTAATAGGTAAGTAGAGTAAGGCTCCGCCTATAACCGTAAAATAATTAATAACTAATAATTTCTTTTTATTATTCCTGCTTTCTTTTTATAATACTATCAAGCTTATTATAGATTATCTATATATTATATTCCTATTTACGGTTCTATAAGCTTACTATTATTATATTATACTAATAATAGTATCTTTTAGTACTCTAATTTCCCTTTATTCTTTTCTTTATATAATTCTTTAGTATATAGTTTATAGGAGCGCTATAATAGTATAAGGCTAATTAGGTAGTATAATAGTAGAAGTAAGAATAATAATAATAATAATAATCGTTATTATAAATAACGTATAATCTTTATTATACTATATATTAACTATAATATTAAGATAGTATTATACCGGCTAGTATAAAGTAGTTACTTATACTATAGTAAGTGTCTAAGTATATACTATAAGAAAGTCGAAGTATATACTAATACTATAAGAACTAGTACTATATACTTTTAGTGTACTAATAGTAGATATCCGTATAAGACTATAAGCTATTTTTATACTATAATAGTATTACTAGGGCGTTAGAGTAGTTAGGTCTAATAAATTAATAAGTTCCCCTAGCTAGTAGAAAGTAGTAATAGCGCCTTATAGATATCTATATAGCCTATATATTAATAAAGGCCGCTAGCTATCTTTATATTATAATAGTAAGTACTCTGTTTTTAGTATTATAATATAGCTATACTAATAGTCTATAAGCTAAAAAGCGTTTGAATACAGCGGCCTTATTCTTAAGACGGGCGATCTTTTAGGCGTTACCTTCCGGATATAGCTATAGCCGTACCGTATTAATAAAGGTATAGGATTTAGTCGCCGAATTCGGTATATAAAGGGTATAATAGGTATTATAATAGATTATTTTATAAGTATTCCTTTTATAATCCTGTTATAGTCCTTTTATAGTAATAGTATAGCTAATAATACGTATACGGTATACTATAAATATTATATAGACGTATAAAAACCGTGTTCTATAGGGGTTTAGTATTAGAACCGTTTTTTATAGCAGTTAATCATTAGAACCGTATTCTACGGCATTCTACTATTAGAACTATATTATATAGCGGTTTACTATTAGAACTCTGTTTTATAGGGGTATAGTATAAAAACCCGGTTTTATAAGGGTATATATAATAAGAATATTAGTTTATAAGGGTATACTATAAAATCGATATACTATGAAAGTACTTAGTAAGAACTACGTATTACTAGGCGGTGATAAGAAAACTAAAATATCCCCTAGGTTATCCTATAGATATATTAGTTTAGGGCTTCGCTACTTAGGTAGATAAAGATATCTTTATTATACCTTATTTACTATAGTAAAGGTTACCCCTTAAATCCTAGAATCTCTAGGTCTAATAATACTAGCTAGCTAAAGATATACCTAAATACTAATATACCTTATCTAGGTATATCTTTAATTAGCTAGTATTATTAGACCTAGGGAACCTAGGATATAAAGGGTAACCTTTACTATAGTAAATAAGGTATAATAAAGATATCTTTATCTACCTAAGTAGCGAAGCCCTAAACTAATATATATATAAGAGAACCCCGGGGATACTCTAGCTTTCTTACCGTGGCCTATTAATATCTAGTTCCTACTAAGTACCTTTAAAATATATCGGTTTTACGGTATACCTCCGTGGAACGCGGTTCTTACGGTATACCCTTATAATACCTAGTATCTGCCATATACCCCCGTAGAACGCGGTTCTTAAAGTATACCCCTATTATACCTAGTATCCACGGTATACCCCCGTAGAACGCGGTTCTTATAGTATACCCCTATAATACCTAGTATCCGCGGTATACCCCCGTAAAACGCGGTTCTTATAGTATACCCCTATAAGGGGCGGTTCCTATAATACGCCGTAGACGTATTATATAATATCCTAAGCCTTATAGATATACTAAATTTAGCTTAGCCTAATAATAATATACCCTTTTTACTATAAAGTACTTATTAGCCTTATAGTTAAAGTAATACGGCCTAGATTCTACTACGAATACTAGTATATATTACGGGGTACCCTAGTAATATTATAGTATAAGCTATAATACGTATAGAGTACGCTATAAATACCTTTAGGCTACACTATAGCTTCTCTAGGTTATAATTAGTAAATATCGGGGAATGTCCTAAGTTTCTATACGTAAAAGCCGAGGATTCTACGGGGTTTACCCGTAGAATATTGAGGTCCTAGGGGTATACCCCCTTAGTTTAAAGAAGATATCTTTATTATACCTTATTTATTATAGTAA